CATTGGGGCCTTCGAATGGGAGGATTCTGATTTTTCAACATTCGAAGCCCCAGTAGAGGCAACTGGCATCTCTACTGGTTGTTCCCTTTTGCCCCTCTATAGTCAGGGCAATAGGGGACAATGTGGTCGGGGTCCCCACATTTAAGGCATTGGTCTGCCTTCTTCCTTTCGGCCCAGACTTTTTCTGTGATTCCCAATTCTTTCCAAGGCTCTCCTTCTGGTAGGCCTGGATGTGGTGGGTATGGCTTATCCCACTTGTTGTACCATGAGCCTCTTCCTCTACCCCAGGTGGAGTAAGAACCACGGTCATCGTATGAGGGACCATTTCCCCTTCCGCCCACGTAGTGGCTTCCTTCACCACCACCCCTCTGGGTGCCGAATCCTCGTCCACCACGGCCGCGACCTCTTCCTCGGCCACGTCCTCTTCCTTGACGCCCTCCCCCGCGGTCTGCAACAGCCGCGTAACTCCCCTCCTGAGCTACCGGTCTGTTGGGTTCATCGAGACCATAGTCTACCTGATCCCAGGAGATGGTCTCGGCGCTTCCTTCTTCAAAGGTTAGAAGGAGACTGTCTTTTCCAGGTATAGACCCTGAGATAGTGCGGTTTTGCCATCTCTTACCTGCTTGCAAATCTTTCCAATAATGGCAATAGTTCGCCTCAATGAGGAAGCCGGCGTGATCTATGGCGATCTTGCCGAACTTCTCATACGTCATCCCTTCTTCCTTGGTGCGGGGATAGAGTTGTGTTCTCAAGGGATCCGGGAGTGCTCGTGCAAAACTGTTTAAGATTTGGGTTGGCGTCAATCCATGATCAGGGCATTGTAATAACTCATCCATAGTTGCCTTTAATGCAGACGTACTCTTCCATTTCCTATCGGGGAGGCTGAGGATCAACATTTCTGTGCGCCTTGCCAGGTTCTTGTCCTCAAATCTTTCTCTTATTAACTTAAGGAAATCTTCAATTCGCGTTTGCTGCGAATACTCTACCATAGAGCTGCATCCCGCCTCTTTTTGCAGCGAGATGGCAAAGCTCATGGCGTCGCCTCCCATGCATGAAGTTGCCATCAATACCCTATCCCAGTATGGAATGCGCTGCCCGTACACGTAAGTTTCAATTGCTGCCGCCCAGTGCAACACACTTTCTTCTTTCTTTCCATTATAGGTCCACGGCAGCTTAAGCTTTATCTTGTTGACTTGCCCGGTTTCCTATGGAAGTTTTTCCTTTGGATCCCCAATCTTCTTCTTCCCCTTCTTGTCACCATCGCCGTCGTCCTCACCATCGTCTCCGCCACCTCCAGCTCCTTTTACGATCTTCTCTATAACTTCGGGAGTAAATGTCTTAGTGACATGTTCATCCAAGACTTTAATATAAGCTTGCACGTGTTGGTCAACGTCTTTGGCTGACTTTTCCAAGAAGTTGTTTCAGACGGGCTTGAACTCAACCCGATGGGTCTCTACTCTTTGTAGGGTTTGCCGCATTAAGGCCATGTCCTGTCTGGTGTTGAGGACTGTCTCCCGGAGGAGAGCAAGCTGTACTTCGGTTTCAGAGGGGTTTTCTTTTTGCGCTTCTAGAGCTTTCTGCAATTTCTCCCCTTCTGCCTGCAGTCTTTTCTTTTCATTCACTTCGTGCCTTCTGGCGGCTAACAACTTGCTATTCAATTCAGCCCTTTTTTCTTCCATCATCAGATTTCGCTCAACGGTATCTGTCACCGTGGCCAACTTGGCAATGAACACGTCACGTTCTTCTTCAGACTCCTTTAATATTTCGCTGGAATAGTAGTATTTATCGGCCCAATCCAGCGGTTCAACCGGGAGCCGGTCTGCTGTACTACTTTCAGGTATGTCGATGGGGCGACGTCCTTGCAATGCCTGTTCTTCTTCCTGATCTGTTTCTTCTTCTTCTTCTTCTTCTCCTCGTATACTCTTCAACTCTTCTTCTAGTTCCTTATCCATCTTCTCTTTCATTTTTCTCTTCGCTTCTTCTTCTTTTTGTTTCTTTTTGGCCTCTTTCTCCTTCTTCTTTTCTGCCAACTTACGATCTATCTCTGCCTGCTCCGCAGGTGTAGGGCCAGGCTTCACTGTTCCAGACCGCATCAGCATGCAGGACGCGCACACACGTCCGAACCCCAGGGGGAACATAAGCCGGAACAGCGGCCCCAACAAGACAGAAAGGGCCAACAGGCCCTGGATGGGATAGTCATCCATGATGACTACCGGCACAGGGGATCCTCCGCCGGATCACCAAGGTACTATCCCACTTACAGACTCAGTTCCTGATCTGCGGTGAATGGAGTACTGTACTTTTTTTTTTTTGATTGTAGAAGGTGCTGCGTAGCTCAACCAATAGCTCAAACTAGAATAAGCTAACCGTTTGCTCTTTTTCTCTCTCTTTGATATGCTGTCTGGCTCCTTGGATCAAACTTGTGGTAATGTGTTTCTGATGTCTTGTTTCCTCTGATATATATATAATTTTCTTTTTTTCTTTATACTAACTTGCTGGGTTGTCCGATGCAGGTATGGAGTTCAGCGCAGAAGATCAGATTCAGATGGTTCACTTATCCAACCAGGCAGGAATACTTCGTTCAGATGTTTCTTTCTATCGGGCTCACCAGGCCCTGTAGATACTCACTATCATTCTTACGCTGCCTGGTACTTGCAATCCGATGTGGCAGATAGCCACTTCCCACATCGGTTCTTAGTTCTTGATGACAATACCCAGCCTGCCTATCGAGAGGGGTAGGAGAGAAGTCTACTCCTACTCGCAGAACACTGGACCACCTAATCTAGTGTGACCAGGCCCTGACACATCGCACTTGGACCACCCAGACTCTAGGACGACCCAGATCCAGACTTCGACTCCAGACCAGCAGCAGTCACCTTCAGAGGGTCAGAGAGAGAGAAGGTAGGGGACACACACATACATGCAGGTTCAGGGAAAGGAGGTGCTTCTCTCTTCTTGAAGATGTCGCCGATGATRCTCCACGACGCTCCGCACGCTCCAGGTAAGTAGACTTCGCCACTTCTTCTTCGGCCTGCTCCCCCCTCCATCCAACACCTCTCTTCTTCCTCCTTCACTATTCCTCCATCACCACTTCTCCTCGCCGGCCTTGATCATGCCAGCGCTATGACTGCAGCGAGCATCTGCTCCGATACCAAAATGCATGGGTCCTGGGGACCATCTCACGCAAGTGTGTACATGTCATG